ACTTTACTTATTAAATTGTCTCGACTCTTTGGTAAAAAATGTGAAATTATCGAAAATTATCAAAAATTCAAAAATCCGAATTTCTTAAAATTCAACATTTTTTCCTCTCTTTTATAGAATTCAGCTTTATTATTTTTGTGCTTTTGGAAAATACTTTACTTATTAAATTGTCTCGACTCTTTGGTAAAAAATCTAAAATTATCAAAAATTCGAAAAATTTCAAAAATCCGTTTTTCTTAAAATTCAACATTTTTTCTTATTTTTTATGGGATTTAGCTTTATTATTTTTGTGCTTTTGGAAAATACTTTACTTATTAAATTGTCTCGACTCTTTGGTAAAAAATGTGAAATTATCGAAAATTATCAAAAATTCAAAAATCCGAATTTCTTAAAATTCAACATTTTTTCCTCTCTTTTATAGAATTTAGCTTCATTATTTTTGTGCTTTTGGAAAATACTTTACTTATTAAATTGTCTCGACTCTTTGGAAAAAAATAAAAAATTATTAAAAATTATCAAAAATCCGAAAAATTGAATTTCTTAAAATTCAACATTTTTTTTCTCTTTTATACCATTTAGCTTTATTATTATTATTTGAATTTTTATTCAAGAGAAAAAATGGAAAACTGAAAAAATTTAGAATTTTTTAAAAATTACAGGCCTTTTCCATGATTTCCCTGATTTCCAGAAGCCTTTTAAAAATTCCATACCATTTTCATGATTTCCATGATTTCCAGATTCTGTAGGAACCCTGCTTTTGTCTGACTTTCTTCTAAATTATCGAATTCAGTGATTTCTGGGGTGAATTTGGTTAAGTTGTAAAATGATTAATTTCTATTTGAATTCGTTTTTTTTTAATGTAGAAAATCTGATGTTAATTTAATTCTTTTTTCGTTATGCACGGCAAAAAATATTTAGCTGGATGAAGTACAGATTTCACTTTAGTAGCGAAATTATTTAGTGCTTCAATTAATACTTTCGTTATTCTAGAGAAACTTATCGCTATTTTAAGTAAAACTTTTTTTAGTGTGTAATAATTATTATTTCTTTAAAAAGTATTTAATTTAAAATGGCTTTATAAAATAAGCAATGCAAAAGATGACCCAGATACTAATTGTAATTGTTCTAGCCATAGTTTAAGTCTAGTAATGTAAATTCTATTTAAATTGAGACCATTGAGTGAAATTATTTGAATTTTAGTTAGTTAAATCTCTTTGTTAGGTTATAATAATTATTTCTTTAAAATTTTTTAAATTGTTTAAATAAGCAGCCCCATACAACATTCCCGCGAGCTTGCGCGCGGATAGTTTGGCTAGTTGTGAAATATAAAATAAATTGTGATATAAATTAATTATGATATATAAAATAAAATTAAATAAAAAGAGATTTCGACTTGAATTTTTTTGAATATGTGAAAAGTAAAAAATAAAATTTCTTTTGAAATGAAAAATTCTCATTAGCAAAATTGTTGTTAATTTGTAATTTTAATTATTGTAAATTGTAGGATGATTCAAAATCGAGAATAGCCTCTTTTCCATGCTTATGGACAAAGAACTTTGACTTTCCAATGTTTTATCTCTGCAGCAGTGAAACCCAAACGATATAGTTAAACTACTTTCATTCACACACAAGTTACACGCGTTACACTTAGCACCAAATTAGGTGTCATATATGCACTTGCAGGAAAACTTGATTCTAAATTTATTCTCTTTTCTTCTCCCTCCCTTTTCCGATGTCACGAAATCAAATTTTTGATAGAATGGAAAATTTTATTTTTATTATTTTTCTTTTTTGTTTTGTTCAAAAGAAAAATTGAATTAACATTGTGTTTTTTTATTGAATATCTATACATATATATTTTTTGAAAAATGAAAAACGTGTGGGAACATATCTGAACATTCTTTAGTTGAATAAGAGTAGGAGGACTGAAGAAAGGATTGAATATTAAATATTGTTAGAAATTTATGTATACTTATACGAAATGCCTCAACACGTGCGTTTGAATATTATTATTATATAAAACTTTGGCATTTTGAAAAAATGTGACTTTTCAAATGGCAAAAATTTTAATTCGAGAAGCAGAAGAAGCGAAAACTTTGTTTTTGGAACGAAAATAAATTTTAAGATTTGTTAAATTGGTTATTAATTATTGCCTGTAATTAATTAATAATTTATATTAACTAGTAGTTAATTATAACAAATATTAACGATTCCCAATTACCAATAACTAATAATTTTTTAGATTAATTAATAATTAATAATACACTGAAAAAAATTCGGTCGAAATCTTTAACTACTATTACCTAGTTGAGTTGAAAGTTGTCAAATTAATTACTTTTTTAGTTTTACTAACAATTTTTGTGTAGTTGATTTTACTACTTTGAATATAGTTGAAGAATAATAGTTTATATAACTAAAAAAAGTAGTTAAATTGCAAAAACAACTACAAAATCTAATTACATCAACTAAATTCTTAGTTCTTTTTACTACTTTCGGTAGTAAATATAAATTTTTAAATTCAGTTGAGGACCTATTGAATCACTCAGGGTAGTTAAAAAGTAGTCAAATCTACTAGTTTTTTTTTTGAGTGTAAATAAATTAACAAAAACTCTGATTAATTTTCTGTTCGCCAAAGTTAATTATTAAACAGTCAAAAATAATTTGTTACTAACTTATTCATTATTAATTAGCTCTAATAATTTTCTGTGTTCAAAAGTAAATTAATATATAGCTATAACTGGTAAATTTTTCATTGTAAAATTACTTAATTTTTTTATTTTAATTGACAAGTAGTAACAAATATCAGTATTTTTTTTTAAAAATAATAAAATCTTTATTAACAAACTAATTATTTGTTTATTGTAACTAACAAATATTAACATATATTAATATTTCCTAATAACGGTTCCTAATAATTTAATAACTATTAACTGTTACTTTTTTTATTAACAAATTATTCAGTACCTAATCTTAACTAATAAATATTAACAGATATTAATATTTCTCATTATCAGACTAATTTTTTGTTTAACAAATTAGTCAATAATTAACTGTGATAAATTTACTATGAGCCAAAGTTAATTATAAAACTAAAAATTTTTTAATTTGTTATTAACAAAATAGTTATTAATTAATAATTAACTTTGATAAATTTTCTTTGTGCCAAAGTTAATTATAAAATAAATAACTGATAGATTTCTTATTAACAAATTAATTATTAATTAACTCTGAATAAATTTCTGTGACAAAGTTAATTAATAGATAAATAACTGACAATTTTTTTCATTAACAAACTAATCAATACTGAATTTTAACTAACAAATATTAATAGATATTAATATTTCCCAATAACTGACTAATTTCTTGATTAACAAATAAGTTAATAATTAACTGTGATATATTTAATGTGCCAAAGTTAATTATAAAACTAATAATTTTTTAATTTGTTACTAACAACATAGTTATTAATAAATAATTAATTTTGATAAATTTTTCTGTGCCAAAATTAATTATTAAATAAATAACTTAGGCATTTGTAACTAACAAATTAATAAGTACTTAAATTGTAACTAATTATCACTAATATTACCAATTATTAATATTTCTTAATAACTGTTATTTTTATTAACAAACTAATCAATCCCTAATTTTAACTAACAAATATTAACAGATATTAATACTTCCCTATAACTAATTTTTTTATTAACAAATTCGAAAATAATTAACTTTGTTAAACATCCTGTGTGCCAAAGTTAAGTAAATAACTAAGAAATTTGTTATTAACAAAATAATTAATACTTTAGTGTAACTAAAAAGATTAACAATTATTAATTTTTCCTAATAACAGTTACCTTTTTTATTAACAAATTAATTAATACTGTAATATAACTAATAAATATTAACAATTATTAATATTTTTTAATAACCAATGAATGCTTTATTAAAAAATTAATTTGTTATCAACAAAATATTTATTAATTAATAATTAACTCTGATAAAGTTCTTATGTGCCAGTGTTAATTATTAAATAAATATCTGACAATTTAGTTATTAACAAACTAATTACTATTTTATTGTAACCAATAAATATTAACAATTATTAATTTTTCCAAATTACTGTTACTTTTTTATTAAAAAATTAATGAATAATTAATTTTGATAAATATTCGGTGTGCCAAAATTAATTATAAAATAAATAATTGATATTTTTGTTATTAACAAATTATTTTTGTTAGTTAATAATTAACTCTGATAAAGTTTCTATGTGCCACAGTTAATTATTAACTAAATAACTGGCACATTTGTTATTAACAAATTAATTAATATTTTATTCTAACTAATAAATAGTAACAATTACTAATATTTTCCAGTAAATAATAAAATTTTTATTTACGAATTAATTTGTTAATAACCAAATACTTATCAATTAATAATAAACTCTGATAAAGTTTTCATGTGCCAAAGTTAATTATTAAGTAAAAAGCTAATAAATTGTTTATTAACAAATTAATTACCTAATATTTTAACGAAACTGATAAATATTAACAATTATTAATATTTCCTAATAACTGCTACTTTTCTTATTAACAAATTAATCAATATTTTATTGTAACTAATAAATATTAACCATTATTAATATTTCCTAACAACTGGTACTCTTTTTATTAACAAATTAATTACCTAATATTTTAACGAAACTAATAAATATTAACAATTATTAATATTTTTTAATAACTAATAAATTTTGTTTTAATAAATTGTTTAATAATTAATTATAATTAACTAATTAATTAATAATTAGATCTGATAAATTTTCATTGATAAACTTTTATAAAATATTCTTTTAACGAATTGAAGAATTAAAATATTTGTTTTTAAATCTTTTCATTAAGAAATGAATTATTAATTAATAACTCATTGCGTTAGTTTTTTGTACCAAATTTTCAATTATTTTATTATTAAAATTAAAATTCTATAAATAAGATAAAAAATTTTCTAACCATTGCAAAGTGCCAATATTCCATGAAGAATGATCAATATAATTGTTCTTGAAAGATCCATTTTTGATGATCTAAATGAAGACATCATCATCGAAAAAATTTTTCACGCCTTCTTCTCATGGACTCTGTTGTCTTTTTTCCCTTCTTATCTTGATTGGGAATGTTGTTTTTTTTTATATCCAATTCACTTCTTTTTAGAATTTTTTTTAAAGAAATTTCACTTAATCGCGAAACACTTTCTGAATTAATATATAATGAAAGAAAAATCACTTTCTAGATGAAAGAATAAGATATGTATTTATGTATATTTAATATCACTTTCTGTACTAATCACTTTTTAGAATACAGTTAAAAATAAGGCAATTGATCCACCAAGTCTCCCGTGAATTATTAATTTGACCGCGATAATATTTCACTTTTGTGTCACATACACACAATAACACACACGCGCGATTGACGTGTAAATTTGTCTGACGAGAAAGAGAGAAAGAAGGTGTACTTCCGGTAGCTTCAATGTTTTCACTCGATGATAAGACTAGTACAAGTGTTCCATTTTCGGGGAATTCCCTTCGTCGTTGTCGAAATAAATTAATTTTTGGGTTTTTTTATTTTTCTTGATTGAATTTCTTTTTATTTTTTGTTGATTCTTTTTTCTATTTTTTCTATTTTTTCTTTCAATCTTGTAGATAAATTTTCAATTTTCTTAATACTTTTTTCAATCTTTTTTGATATCTTTATTCAATCTTCTTGATACTTTTTTCAATATTGATACTTTTTTGAAGTCTTGATATTTTTTTCAAGTCTATTTTTTTTAATCTTGATACTTTTTTCAATCTTTACACTCTTTTTGGATGCCCCTCCTTTTTATATTGATATTTTTTTTAATCTTGATACTTTTTTTCAATTTCAACACTTTTTTCAATCTTGATATATTTTTTTTTAATCTTGATATATTTTTATGATACTTTTTTCAATCTTGATACTTTCTTTCATTAGTACTTTTTTTTCTAACTTTTTGATGAACTTTTTTTCTTAAGCACACTGACAAAAATTTTTTCCTCTCGAATTGTCACATTGAAATTTATTATTATTTTCTGCTTTTATTTAATTGAGAGCAGTAAACTTGAGTTGAATAATATCACTGATCACTTGTATAAAAATACGATCTTGGTTTTTTGTATTAAAGTCCTTAGTCTGCTTTTGTTTCTTTTTTTTTTTTTTTTGTTTATTAATTCCAGTTCAGTGTTTTTTGAAGTCTAGGTCGCACAATCCTCGTGCCTACCGGAGACTTGACGCACTTCTTTATAACATAAAAAAGAAACGATTGGCGTTAATGAATTATTACATCTGTCATAATAAAATCGAGCGTTAACACGAATCAGTTGGTAGATTGTGGAAAAAAATGGGGGAGGGGAGAGATGATAAAATTATTTATGTATTTTTATGATGAATAGTAAATTATTATTATAATTATTAATTTTGAAGTCAATTGTTATTTGTAGTTTAATTTTTTTTCCAATTTTTAATAATAATTGAGAACATTACAATTTGTTGTCAATGAAAACGTTAAAATTTATTATCAGTAGTTAAAAACGTTACAATTTATTGTTAATTTAATTTGTTGCAATTTATTGTTAATTTAATTTGCTGCAATTTATTGTTAATTTAATTTGTTACAATTTATTGTTAATTTAATTTGCTGTAATTTATTGTTAATTGAAATTGTTACAATTTATTATTTATTGAATTGTTATAAACCAAAATTGTTGTTATTTATTATTAATTTCAATTGTTAGAATTTATTATCAACAATTTAAATTACTTGTAAGTTACTATTAATAATTATAATAATTGAAAATTTTTCCGTTTTCTTGTTTCAATCATAAAAATTGAAATAATAATTTTGTAATTGAAATAATAATTTTATAATTAAAATAATAATTTTGTAATTGAAATAATAATTTTATAATTAAAATAATAATTTTATAATTGAAATAATAATTTTATAATTGAAATTTTAATAATTTTTTAATTGAAATAATAATTTTTAATTTAAATAATTTGATACTTGTTCGTGAATTAATATTACGATAAAATTAATTTTTTATTGGTGATTAATAATGAGAACGGTGATAAATAATATACGGAAATAAAAATTTATTAACTTGTTGGATGTCTTCTTTAAAAAGAGAAAAAAAGAATGAGAATGATGAGTTATAAATGTATAATGAAATTATGATAATGTCAAGTTTGCCAAAAAACGATTTATGATCGAGATATGGTAGCTATTAATTAACCTTGAGAAGTAAGAGTTCAAGATTTTATGTGAGTAATATAATTTTCTTATCACGTGTGAATAGTAATAGAAAACCTTAGTAATAATTGAGTTTAAAATAAAAACGATCGATACAACATTGTGTCTCTTTTGCGAGAGAGACTTTTAAAGAATGCTTTTTTCTTTATTTATCGATTGAAAGAGATTCTTTACGGTTCGTTTTTTCCTTCGAGTGATATATTACCTAGTACCAATAATTTCAAATTGATTTCTATATATAGATTCATATCCTTTTTTTTTATTATTTTATTTATTTAGTTTTTAATTCTTTTTATATTTTTTAAAATTATTTTCTTATTTCTTATTTTTATATTATTTTTCTATTTATCGAATTTATTTTTGTAAAATGAAAACTATGAGAAAGTTGATTTATTCTTATATATTTTTATTTCAGTTAATTTTTATTTAATTTTCATTATTTATTTTTATTAGTTTTACTTTATTCATTTTTATTTCTTTTATTTTCTTTTTCTATTTACTATTTTACTATTTATTATTTTGCTATTTATTAATTTACTATTTTTTACTATTTATTAGTTTGCTATTTATTAATTTACTATTTTTTACTACTTATTATTTTGCTATTTATTATTTTACTATTGATTTTTTTTACTATTGATTTTTTTTACTATTTATTGTCTTACTATTTATTATTCGATTATTTATTTATAAGCTTATATATTTACAAGTAGCACAGTTATTGAATATTGTTTGCATAATAAACAGCAATTTAGTTATGTATTCATTATCTCAAGCATCATGTATATTCCGTTACAATATTATTTGCAAACTTGAATAAAGATTTTAATTCAAATTTTAATAGGAATTATAGAATTTTATTATTTGAATTATAATGCAAAGTAAATGATTTTAAAGTTATTTTTTGAGAATATTTTTCTCTGTAGCTAAAAATTTTTGTGTTAGAAAATTTTTCTTATTATATCTTTATAGTAATTTGAAAAAAAAAATAATAGAAATATCAGTGACATCAACTTTTTCTTGGAAAAACGTTTTAATAACGTCATTTTTTCAAACAGCAAACGAAGAAAGAAACGAGTGTTTTTATTGATTAATTCCGAAGAAAGTAAATGTGATTTCTTAGAAAAATGAATTTCGAAAAATATTTTTTAAAAATACGCAAAAAATATTTTTCGAAGATTATAAGATTTTTTTATAATAAAACAATAAATAAAAAATAATTTTATCAAATACTGGCATATTTTTACAAGATTGTAAGTTTTTTAAATAATAAAATAAATAGTAAAGAGAATAATAAGATAATTAAAAATACTATTTTAATGAAACTAAATATTTTGTTTGAATTTACTGAATATTGAAAAGATAATTAAATATAACAAAATAAATATAAAAATGATTGAAAAATGTGTAATTAGAAATGTTTCTACAGTTTCGAATGTTGAAATGAACGATGATATTTTTTCATTTCTTTCAATTTGTAATTTTTTACAAAAAAATTATTTTGTGTTTGAAAAAATTTATTCGTGAGTTAATATATTTAATTTTAATTTTTTTTATTGTCGATATTTTAAAAATTATTTGAGCAGTAAAAAATTTTATTAAGTATTAAATATATAAAATGCAATTGAATATAAAAAATGATTATAAAAATTAGAATGTAAATAAATGTAAAAAATTATTATAAAAATAAAATATAACTAAATATAAAAAATGATTACAGAAAAGAATTGAAATTAAATATGAAAAATATACTTTCTGTACTTGCATTAGTAAATAAATAAAAAATTTACTAATTGAAATTGGTGACTGACATTTTGCTTTTGAATTAGTAAAGTTTACTAATAAATAGCACTGTCCATTAATTTATTAGTAAATTTTACAAATTCGGAAGCAAAAAATCAGTTTGTAATTCAAATCAGTAAACATTTTTACTAATTTAAATTTAGAGAAAAACTGAATATTAAAAATATAGTTAAAAATAAAAATGTAGTTAATATAAAAAATTCAATTAAATAAAAAATGATTTTAGAAATAAAAAACGTAGTTAAATATAAAAATTGTAATTAAAATAGAAGAGCTATTAAAATAGAAAATGTACTTGAAATAAAATGTAAATAAAATAAAAATAAATTAAAAAATTAAAAAATAAAGTAAAAAATAAATTTAAATAAATTAAAAAATAAATAAAGAAAATAAAATTTTCGTTTGAAAAAGAACACTCGAAAGGAATTTTTATTTAAAAAAAAATTACACAACTGATACAGCAGGTGTATAATTTGGGTTATATGTTTTAATAGTTATATAGAAAAATTTCCGTATAAATTATTTGAATCTGAATGAAAAATGTATAATTTGAGTGAGATAAATATCAGTCACACGTGAAACAAGAATATAAAAAAAAAATTTTTAACACACAATGATGACACTTTTCGAGAATAGTGGGTGGGGGCGGGGGCAAAGGGGACGTCGATGAGAAGGAAGAGAGAAATTTACCTTGTATTTAAAAAAAAATATTTTTTGAGTAAATAAAAAGAAAATATTAGTAGTAGTAGTAATAGGTTTTATGAAAAAGCACGACACTTGAGGATATATGGCAGGAGCTCTGAAAATCGCAAGTCGCGTGTTCGATGTTGCGCGCGAGACTGCATAGACGGACGTTCATGGGTTTGCGTATAGTTCGCTTTAAACCCGTGTGGGGGTTAATTGGGACCCCTGCACAGCAAAATCCTTTCTTTCCGCGATGGTACGAAACGGTTGTCGTTGTCTTCGTTGATCGTCAAACGTCGACGACGACAACGAGTCCGAGACTCCCCCCCCCTCTCTTTTATCTTTTATTATAGGACCTGTGATCGAAGAAGAAAGAGAGAGATGACCCCCTACAACACCCCTTGCTTTTACGTGCCGAGATCAAGACAGAGAAAGAGAGAAAAAAAGAAAGAGAGAGAGAGAGAGAGAGAGAGAGAGAGAGAGAGAGAGAGAGAGAGAGAGAGAGAGAGAGAGAGAGAGAGAGAGAGAGAGAGAGAGAGAGAGAGAGAGAGAGAGAGAGAGAGAGAGAGAGAGAGAGAGAGAGAGAGAGAGAGAGAGAGAGAGAGAGAGAGATGTAAGAGAGTCCGCAAGGAATTTGCGAGAGGAATTTCGATCGGAATCCTGATCGTAATGGGCCTCTGGTTCTGCTCCTGCTCCTTTTCAGATCCCTCTCACACAATTAGATGTGTGTGTATATATATATAAGAAGACTTGAAGGCACGTCCTTTTGTTTTCATCTTCAAGTTTCCCATATATTTTTCTTTTTTGGTTTTTTCTTTAACATACTTTCTTAACTTGAAACGTTTTTCTTTGCTTTGCAAAGAATTTTTTTTATGTTTTTTGTCGTTTGTTAAAATTTATTTAATTTTTATTTTTCGGTTTTTATT